TCCAGCCTCCCAGCACAGCCTGGCTCCCCAGCAGCTCCCAGGGCCTCTCCCTTTGTTAACAGTTACCTTTTGTGTTTAGTTTGGGCTTGAGATGTTAAACAAATATGCCTCTTGACAAAGGCAAGCCGCTGCACTGGGACCAGTTATGCTCTGAGAATCGGCCAAATCCTGGTATCTCTCCCTACAGAGGCACATCAAGAAACGCCTCAGTCATATCCTAGGCGCCCCGATTCTGCTCTACCTGCCATCTGAGGCCACCAATCCCAGCACAGCCAGGTCCTGTCTCTGCTGCAGCTTCTGGCCCCCCTCGGCCCAGCCCCTCTCCCACCTGCCACTGGCTTCTTGTTTAGGTGACTCGAGACACCCTACAGCTAGCCATGGGCTCTGGGCCCTGCCCACCCACCTAGCCAGCCAGGCCCACCGACACAGATGGGGTGTACTTATAGGGTGCCTTCTATGCCGGGAGCGACCAAGGGCTGTGAGGCTCAGAGATTTGTAAGGCCTTCTCCCTGACCTGCAGGAACTTATGGTCTGGTCTTTGTAGGAAGGACAAGAATTCCATGGGAGGCTCTGGATCACCTAGTAACTGAGAGAGCTGGGATTTGACCCCTAGCTTGTCTGGCTCAGGGTCAAGTTCTTTTGCTCGCTGCCTCACTGTACCCTGCCCAGTCGTCTAATCAAACTGCAGATCAAGGAGGACTAGACAGAGAGGGCTCTGGGCCACGCAAGCTTTAAATCATAGTCTTGGCCATTGGAGAATGAGCTTTCCTGGTCAAAGAACCAGGTCTGTCTTGAGCATCACAGAATGTCAGAGTGCAAGGGGCGTTTTTAGATGGTCAAAACTTCCATCTTGTAGAAAAGGAAACCAAGGCACAGAGAGGCCAAGTCTTCCCAGCTAGTTGGCAGCTGGTGCCAGGCTCCAACTATGGGAGCCACAGGCGCCAGGAGAGGAACATGGGAATACTTGGACCTACAGCTTAGCAAGGAAGGGAATGGGTGATAAAGCTCGAAATATATACATTTAATATCTGGTGCAAAATGATATGCAACAACTAATGATATTACGGTCTGTATCACTTATCCTAACTCTGAGTGTGGCCTTTTCCTCACAAACTAAAGGCTAGACTCTTTGACCTGATTCTTAGAAGAACCAGAGAAGCAGTCGCAGAGTAAGAACATCGTGGAATATTATAAATAATGGGAGCATAGACATGTACTGGTCCAAGTCCCTCCACTTGTGCTGTGGCCCAAGGGGTCACATACCTCCCCTGATACCTCCCCTGCACCCCAGTCCCACAGCAAGAAGATGACACAGACAACCCCAGCCAAAGCTTTCCAACCTGCCACCCTATGTTCTCTCTACTGGGCAAGACTTTGGAAAATCAGGAATATATGAGTGTGTGTGTGTGTGTGTGTGTGGTCAAGCATCTTCCACTAGTGTTACCAATGGATTGGGAGAACATGGAGAAGCCACAGTTGGACAGTCTTTCTCTTTTATAACAAAGTTGATAAAAGTGATTTCTGACACCAGGTCCTGTCATATGGTGGGAGCGTGGGGGCAAACCCCATGTGTCTTAGATAGAAGGAGTGGGATAGGCTGAGGGGTCTTCGACGTAACCCTACTGCCCAAGTCAAGGATGAGACGAGAGGACTCAGAGGCCTATGAGGCCACTAGCTCCCTCCTCCCCAGCTCCCACTTCCTGCTTCTTAAGAGAAAGGACAGGCCCTCCATGGTGGCACAGGGGTTATAGTTTCAGCAGTTTCAAGAGCTCATCAGCCACTTTGACATGAGTTCGATCCCCGGCTAGGAGCTGACGCACATGGCACTACAGACCTCTCCTGTCCCGCCCACTGCCCCCTCAGCAGTGTATCTCAGTAGATCCTCCTGTTCTGCACCCCATTCTGTCTCTGGTGAACCCTCTCACCCCCCACACCTCTACACTCCAGGTCTTGTATGCATAAATAAATAAACTAAATCTTTTTTTAAAAGAGAGAAAAGAGGGAAGAGGGACGGGAGGAGACTCAGACACTCTTTCTGGCCTTCCATATGTAATGAAGGCTACAGGAAAACCTCAACCCTGGGGCAGGAGTCCTGGCCCCCTTCAGTCTCTGTGACCCTAGGTAACCCTATTCGTTGAGCCTCAGTTTCCTCACCTGTAACATGAGAGGGTTGGGCTAGACAATCTCTAAAGATCCTTCCATTTCTGAAGTGCTGTGAAAATAGACTTTGTCATAATTAATAATAAATGCCCTGCCCCTAAAGAGAGCATTTTCCCTTTTCCAAAGCTCTTTCGCTCATAATATCACCTTTCATCTGCACAGCAGTCTGGCCTGGCAACTAGAAGCAACAGACCCTGAACACATAGCTTTTGACACCAAAAACTAGGTTTAGAGAGCCACTTGCTCATCAAACTGGTTTTGGGAAAATTGACTTCTGGGGTGGTTGTAAACATCAGCAGCACACAGATCCAAAGTTGTACCCCAATTCTGAGAAGCCAGGAAAGAACATTTTTCTTTCAAAGAACCAGAAGATGCAGTAAACTGAGTTCCTGGCAAGAGGGTCCAGAGCCACAGTCTGTCCTCAAATCACCAAAGATCTTGGAGAGCTGGGGGGCTGGATGGGACGTAGGAGGCAGTAAGGAACCAGGAGTGTGAGCCCTCCCAGTAAGGAACCAGGAGTGTGAGCCCTCCCAGTAAGGAACCAGGAGTGTGAGCCCTCCCACCAGGCTCTGGTAGAGGCCTGGGCCCTCGGGCGAAGAAGCCATTCAGAGCTTTAGACTGCCTGATCTGCACACAGGTGGGCTTCTTTAATCTCTTTCAACAGTGGGTTCAAGCACTGGTACAACTAGCTGTCCCACTGACAGGTGAAAAACCAGAGGAGTCATGAGCACAACATGGTCTTGGGAGGCAGACTGAAGGCGTCCCAGCTGAACGACCTGGGATGGTTCTCTGCACGGCCTTTAGCCTCAGTTTCGCCATCTATCGATATAAAGAAGGTGTAACCTCACCTACCTCCAGGATGGCAGCAAGGACGAAGGTGATGATAGTAATATGTCTAGCCTGGCACACAGCAGATGCGGACACATTCTTGCTGAGTGGATGGTTGAAGGAAGGAATGTGTTGGTGGCACTCCTGGGGAAAGCAGCACAGTGTCTGGCAGTGAGAAGTCAGCTCTGGATGTGAGCTGATGGTGCCCCTGGCTGGCTGCCTTCCGAGTCTGATTATAGTCAGGGACCTTAATGCCTCTTCCACGCCCCTCCTCGTGACCATGTCAGGGCTCATGAAGGACTTTCCGACCCCCTTTGGCAATGGGATTTGCATTCCAATCATTCTGCTCTCTCTGTCATTCCAACTTGGAACTGTTTGGAGCTGAGCAAGGTATGTGGGATCGTCTGCTGTGGCATCTCATCAAGAAGCTAAGGAAGCAAGTCTTGGAGACAGGCTATGATACCTAGCTGAGGTCTCACAGTGCCCCCTTCTTTGCCACCTTTGCCATGATGGTGATAGATGAAGGAATGGAGGCCTAGGGAGGCCTTCAGGTTCTTCCAGTCTGTGAGCAAGCCTCCCGATCTGGGTGCCACCTGCCCGATGGCAACTATGGGTTGTCAGAAAAGTCTTAACATATTTTCAAGCAAAAATGCATAGTGACTTTTCTGACAACCCAATAGATCCCAACTCTGTTGGCATGCCCTATGGTGGTATCCAGTGCTGTCTCTGGCAGCTGAACCCAAGCCCAGCCTGACCTCCTGGTGCGGGTCAGGGGCGATGGGTACCAGGACAGCACAATAACAGGGGAGCAGAGCAGGAAGCCCTGGGACTTTGTGTTTCTGGCCCAGGCTTCCAGCCTGTGCTTTTTCAGCCTGTTTCAGGAACCACGAGGACCCATTTTACAAGAGCAGGACCTTACAAGAGCAGAACACACATTTTACAAGAGCAGGACCTTCCCTGCATGTCCGTCCGCCCGTGTGCTCCCAGGTTCACAGCTGTGCTACCCTGCCTCTAAGACAGCCAGCGGCTTGGGGTAGGGGAAGAGGTGTGGCTTGGGAGGAGGAAATTTCAGCAGAGTCCAATGTGTCACTAATCACTACCCTTGCAAGTCTCTTGACATCTCTGTGCCTGTTTCCTCGTCTACGTAATAAGTGGCAGGACAGCAAGGTCGCGGTCCCTTCCAGCTGTCCATGCTATAATTGGAGCAGAGCCAAGGGGATGTGTGTGTGTGTGGGGGGGGGGTGCCTCTTCGTCCCCTCTTCCTTGGCTTCTATGTTTGTATCATCTGTGTATCTCCAGCTATCGGGTCTCCCTGTCTCAGTTCAGTCTGCTCTTTTCCCTGTTTCCATTTTTTGCTCTCTGCCTCTCTTCCTCTGTATTTTGCTGCCTGCCTCTTTTCTGTGTTTATGAGTCTACCTCTGGCTTTATCGCCTTGCTGTCACACCCCCTTCGCCTCTTTTTCTCTCTGTGTAGTTCCATGCGTTTCTCAGTCTAGTTATCTCTTTCCTCGGTCCAGCTCTCTCTCTTCTCCGTCCGGCCCGGTCTCTCCGACGCTCTCCCGCTCGCTCCCCTCCCGCCCCCTCCGCC